CCTCTTCAGACTCATGCAACACATGCAATGACACTGAATGAAAGATGATCACAGGCCAGTGGGTGGAAAGTCTTGTGGATCCAGTGGTGGTGGAAGCATCTCCACGCTGGCGTGGGTCTCCACGTGGGTCCTCCAACTCCAGGCCTCTAGCGCAGATCCATGTCATCAGGAATACGAAGCAGAGTGTGTGTGTATCTGGTCTCCAGTGATCTATTTATCTCTGTGGCGCCACCAAATGAGGTTATCAAGCTGTGACCTGATTGACAGCCTAAACTCCACCCCTTCTCGTTGACAGATTATGTAACTGCCACACCCCTCAATGTAAACATTCCACACACACTTCTTGTGGTTGGAAGCTACTGGACAATTGCTCCCTGACTCATCCCAGCCCAAACACAATGGAATGAAATGCTGCCTGGTCCTGCACCATCCCAGGTTCTGTTGTAAATCAGATTATTGTGAACCCATAGAGTTGTTACTGTTGTTATTTGAACTTCTTATTGTGATGTAGGTAAAGGTTTATAAAGCAGATCATAGTCTGACGATTAACAGCACAGGCACATTCTGATTCTATTGCCATCTCTCCATGTGCCACCACTTACTTATCCCACATTCTTTCCGTTTTGTTTCCATTTCCTCTTTCCTAACCTTCTAACCTTTATCCTCAGGTAAGTACTGCCTTTCCCTCTTACATCTTTGATTATTATAATACAGAGGTGAGTCCCGTGACAGACCTAAGGTGAAAGGCCATACTCTTGAGGTCCCAGTAAATCTGGTTTCTTTGATGATCTTGAGGTTTGTTCCACCTTTTTCTTCACCTCTACCCAAGACCATCTAACGTGGGAGTTGGTAGTGGTAGCCAGGCACACCCATGTCTGGTCTCAGAATTGTCCAGATTGGCTTGCAATGGACTATTTCCATCTGTCTATTTTCGTAACTCTTCTTTCCTTTGAATGTGGAGACCAATAGTAGCACCTTGAGCTTTTAAGACCCCAGTCCCGACTCATCAAATTAGACAGAACATTGTCTTGATGAATTATGCTATGCCAATTGACCTGGATGCCCCCTGAGGCCCCCAGACCCAGGGACTTGTTACTTCAGGTATTTATGTCTAAGAGGTTTTCATAACTTCGTCCCCTGTATGCTCCAGCACATTCATGAATATATCTGCAGCCAGTAGCTCACTGCCACTGAGTCCTTTCTGACTCATAGTGACCCAGTAGGCCAGAGTAGCAGCGCCCCTTTGGGTTTCTGAGACTTTAAATCTGTACAGAAGTAGACAGCCTCATCTTTCTCCTGTAGAGGTAAGTTCAAACTGCTGACCTTGCAGTTGGCAGCTCAGTGCATAGCCCACTATGTCACCCGAACTCCTGCAGCAAAAATGCACACAGACTAAGATCCCTGTGAAACTTGCCTTTGGGGGGATAGTCTCTCTCTTTCACACCTGATCAGCCTGGGTGTCTGCTCAAGTATCTACTTGTATCGATCTTCACTGTTGCAGGATTTGGTATATAAGAATACCTGCCACTTTCACCCTTAATTCTTGTCGAACTCTCAGTGTCATCCTCTGCCTCCATCATTTTTCTAACCTCCCATGCCCTCTCACCCCTGGGGGCCATCAAATCTTTTCTTGATTTTTTATATAATGGTGGTCTCATACAGTAATTGTCTTTTGGCGGTTGACTAATTTCACACAGCCGAATGTCCTCCAAGTTTATGTATGCTGTGAGGTGTTTCACAGATTCATGATTTAACGTCGCATACTAATATACAGAACGTACCAACGTTTATCCATCCTTGCACTGATGGATATTTAGGTTGTTTTGATACTTCTGCTATTGTAAATAGTGCCGTGATGAACATGGATATGCAAATATCTATTTGTTTCTTGGCTCTCATTTCTCCCCTCCCCCTTCATAATTCATAAATTATTATTTTGTCATTTGCTACACTGTCCGACGCCTCCCCTCGCCCACTTCTCTGTTGTCCATCCCCCAGGGAGGAGGATATATGTAGATTCTTGTAATTGGTTCCCCCTTTCCAACCCACATTCTCTCCACCCTCCAGGCATCGCCACTCTCGGCACTGGTCCTGAAGGGGTCATTTGTCCTGGATTCCCTGTGTTTCCAGTTCCTATCTGTACCAGTGTACATCCTCTGGTCTAGCCAGATTTGTAAGGTAGAATTGG